AGGAAGGAAGGAAGGAAGGAAGGAAGGAAGGAAGGAAGGAAGGAAGGGAAAGAGGAGTGAGAAATGCCAAACTTACTTCATCCACACGCCCAACAGCACCAAAGATTCTTGCCATTTGTCCAGTGAGGTAGGGAAATCTCTCTCCGATCTCTTTCAACATTGGGAGAAAACTGTTTAAAGCCAGTGGCTCACAGCCTGCTATTTCTATTAGGATGTTTAGGATGATGTCATTGTGGGTTGAATCCTTCAAATGCCTGATCAGGAAAGGAACACATTTCCGGACCACCTGCAAGGAGAGAGGAGAGAGAGAAAGGAGAAAGAAAGGACAAGAAAAATGTTAGTCAAATAAGAATCATTTTCAAAAAAAAACAAACAAATAAACAAAAAACCTCTTGGACTCAATTTAAAACAATGTTCCTGCCTCAGCCTTCTGAGTGCTAGGATTACAGGCATATGGACAGCAACATATTAAATAATACTTCAGGAAAAAAAAATCCTGTGATTATTAAGCTCATGGTAAATCTCCTGACTTTGGAGATTTATTGTAAACTTTACCATAAAACCATATGCCCCTGAGTCTGTTTCCCCTTTAATGCATGCTCTCCCACATCGTTGATGCTCAAACCAAGCTTTAACATGCTACACAAATGCCGAATTCTCCCAGCAAGTACCAGAGCTGTAGCTGAAGGACAACTGGTGAGGAAGAGACCCTTGTTGATTTTACTAAAACCTCCAGTTTGAGAAAAATTCGGCTTAGAAATGTTTCATATTAGAGACAAGAAAACATGAAGGGTTTCTCACTTGTTCTTTTTTATTGAATTTTTATTTTTTTATATTAATTACAGTTTATTCACTTTGTAGCCCAGCTGTAGCTTTCTCCCTCATTTCCTCCCAATCCCCCCCCCCATCTCCTCCCTGTTCTCCAGGTATACTGATGGGGAGGTCCACCTCCCCTTACATCTGACCCTAGCTTATCAGGTTTCATCAGGGCTGGCTGCATTGTCCTCCTCTGTGGCCTGGCAAGGCTGCTCCCCCTTCAGGGAGAGGTGATGAAAGAGCCAGCCACTGAGTTCATGTCAGAGACAGTCCCTGTTCCCCTTACTAGGAAATCCACTTGGAGCCTGAGCTGCCCTGGGCTACATCTGAGCAGGGGTTCTAAGTTATATCTATGAATGGTCCTTGGTTGGAGTATCAGTCTCAGAAAAGACCCCTGTGCCCATATTATTTTCGGTTATGTTGTTCTCCTTGTGGAGCTCCTGTCCTCTCCAGGTCTTACTATCTCCCTCCTTTTTCATAAGATTCCCTGCACTCTGCCCAAAGTTTGGTTATAAGTCTCAGCATCTGCTTTGATACACTGCTTGGGAGAATCTTTCAGAGGCCCTCTGTGGTAGGCTCCTGTGCTGTTTCCTGTTTTCTTCTTCTTCCAGTGTCCATCTCATTTGTCTTTCTGAGTGAGGATTGATCATCTTGCCCAGGGTCTTCCTTCTTGCTTAGCTTCTCTTAAATCAATCCCACTAAAATCAGGGACAAGGCAAGGCTGCCCACTCTCCATATCTCTTCAACATAGTACTTGAAGTTCTAGCTAGAACAATAAGACAACTAAAGGAGATCAAGGGGATACAAATCGGAAAGGAAGAAGTTAAAGTATTACTATTTGCAGCTGATATGATAGTATACATGAGCAACCCCAAAAATTCAACCAGAGAACTCCTTCAGCTGATAAACACCTTCAGCAAAGTAGCTGAATACAAAATTAACTCAAAAAAGCCTCCCTTGTTCTTAATCTCCAGTTTTAATGGAGAATGTCATGATAAGATATAATTATTAAAGCAAAATTTTTTCACCATATTTCGATTGCTTAATAATGTCTTTATGAATATAAGAATTAAATAATTCTTATTAGAAAAATGTGACTTTCTGTGAAATAATGTGACTAATACACAGATATGGGAAAGGGGCCATGTGTAGAATTACGAACCCAGACAAACCAGATAGTCTTGAGATAACTAAAATTACCCTGCGTACAGAACTTTGAGATGGAAAAACAAGGCTGGTTCTCGGTAAGTCGTATATCCGCAGTTTTAAAAATGCTGCCTGTGTATTTGGTAGGGATTGCATATCCTTCAGGAGACACCGTGAGAGGTCTCTGGCACATAGAGCATAAGTGTCAGCCAGCTGCCCTGGGTCGGGGCAACATACCTGACCTGAGGCATTTGGAAATGGAAAATGCTCACACAGTTCCTGCCCGTTCTAGAAAACTTCATTTCCTACCCCTTGCCTCCAGGTCCTGTTCTTGGAACAACAAGGACATGTGACATGTGATTTTTCTACACATGCCAATTTGTGTTTTAATTTAAACCCTAGCCACATAGCCCAAGCCCCACAAGACTGTCCTTTATCTGTCTGTTCCTCCATATAGAAAGGGAAAAAAGGAAAAGATAAAAGGAGAGAAAAAAAATGAGGAGAAAAGAAGAAGGGGGGAAAAAAGAGAGAGAAAAAGCAGGCAAACAGGCCAGCACGCACAATAAGGCAGATAAGTTGCCCTGAGCCCTGAGGGGGGCTGTTGACCCCATAGAGGGCACAGAAAGTATGGCCACCTTGAATACCATCAACAGAAATGTTGGCTTTATGTGTGAAACAAAAATCTGAGTATTTTGCTGTGAATTCCTAACAGCGCTAAGTTTATTATGATGATGATAGAAAAGAAAGATATTTCGAAGTTTGTCTCATGCTTGAAAGCAAAGTGGTGCTCTGGCAAGAGGAATTTGCTTCCATACCCAGGAAGTGCCACTTCCCTCCTTCTGTGCCGCTTTGTTGGGTTGACTTCATGTCTGGGGGAAGGGCCTACATCTGCTAAGAGGTGAGCAGTCACAGAGACAGTGCAGATGGCAGGCACAGAGGACGGTGACATGGTGTCACGGCCTTGAGGCATACCACTGAAAGAATTCTCCAATGGTCTCCTTGCCCTGCCTGTTTTTGTCCCTTTTGCTTAGCCTCCTCTCTGTCTCCAGAGTACCTTGTCCTAAAACTCCAGTCTGATGATATCAAGCTTCCCTTAGAGACTTTCAAAGATTTCTAGAAACTCCATGCTGTGGCCTTGCAGAGTCTTCACTTAATGGTGTTTCTGTTGCCTCTCCCCAACAGCAAAGCTTCCTGGTACTGCTGCAGGGAGAGCAGAAGTAGACGACCTGCTTTCACCTTTGAATTTCCTTCTGTCCATCCTGGGCTAGAGTACAAAGAGAGTTCTGCAACCTCACATGGAAATATCCAGCAGGGCCTTAAGATGTAATCCTTCTACCTGATAAATGAGCCTTGCAACAATCTGGGATGCTTGCTTTTGACTTAGAATCTTTGGCTTATGTTCAGGAAGTGGGGGGAGATGACCCCACCCCATCCCCCTCTTCTATCTACCCTTGCCTCCTTCTGTTTGGGTATCTTAAGCTCATTTAAGTCATCTCTCAGGAATGTGAGGTCATTTAACAGTGTAATGTAGACCCTAAAAATTTTAAACTTCTCCAGAAAATATGTTAAGATTAAGGGTTGGAGGTTGGTCTGATGTGTGTTATTGACCCTTAATATCTGGTTACACCTGTCTTTGTTTTGTAAACCTGACTAAGACACATCTGATTGGTTGATTAAACAGCCTATATCTGGGCAGGGCAGAATGGAGTAAGCATGGTTAAGGTTCCTGGGCTTTGGAGGACAGAGAGGATCAGGGGAAATGGTCAGATGGCAAGAGAAGAGGAAGGAGGATGCAATGTTGGGTTAATGTGAAGAAAAAAACATGTGAGTAGAGATGAAAGACTCCAATAATGTTGTGAAAAGGCCCAGATGAACAATACAAGCAAGTACCATGGGATTATGGATGAAAGGTACACCAGAAAGGAAGGATTAAGATAGATGGCATTGGATGGGGGCTAGGAGAGGGATGGTGAGGATATTGAGACAGTGTAGGTGAAATATCTGCTTGGCCCAAGGTAAATAATGCAATTATAAATCTAACAGGAGTCTGTGTCTTGTTATTTGTGATAGCGGGTTAAATAATACCGCTCTGATAATCTTAGGACTAAATAAAACTTATATAGCCCCGAACTTATATAGCCCTATTTTTTTTATTTATTACAACAATTAAGACTAGCTTGAAGCCCTGATTCCAGGAGGAGATCCCCCTCAGGAAAATTTCTCACAGTTCTGACAGCTTATCTCACGGCTAATTCTACACACATGCACCTTCTGGCTTTTGTTCTACTTTTCACCCTATAAATTGTTCCATTGTAATAGGAAAGGTGGAGAAAAGTAAGAACTTTTCCTCTGTAGTTTTTATCCAAACTGTAAGTAAACTCATTTCTCTATATCAACTCCTGAGTTTTGATTTTTCGGGGGAGAAGAGCCAGACAAGGACTGAGAAGGGCAATATCATCAGTCATACTCTTGGAGTGGCCTGTGCTGACATGAACAGACCCAGAGCCAGGCCTGCAGAAGCGCTGGAGGCAGGCTCAAGGTGTCTTGGAAAACCCCAAGGCCATTGCCTGGGCTGTGCTTAGTGAAGAGTGGGCGCACAGTCTAGCACAAGAGGATGAGCCCGATCAGGACTCTCCAATGCCAGCCAGGGTAGAGTCCTGCCTTGATTTCTTTGCTTCTTCCTGGACACTAGTCTCTTCTGTTTCCATCCCTCATAGGAGTTCAAAATGTGGCCTCATCACAGAGTTGAAATTTTGTGGATACCTCTCCTCAAAGTTAAGGGTACCTGAAGAACAGGGTCATCTGAAAATTAATGACATTTCAAGACCTGTGTATAAAATAGGCTGTGTGTATGTGTCTGTACAATAGCACTTAACTTAGTCCTCAGGCAAAATTTTCTATTTTAGTTAATTTGGCTAACATCAGGACTTCATTAATTTCTAAAAATCTATAAAAATGACTTCTATTCCTTTTGTTTATGGCTTCTTTTCTCCACACTGATGTTCTGGAAAAGATGCTCCTGCCTGCACACTGTCTCTGAATAGTCTAAAACCCCCCTCTGCTCCATCTTCTTCATGTTTTGTAAATGACTTCAAGTAATTATGCAAAGTGACCCCTGAGCATTGTGGGCCTGGCGACTGGCCTCGTGGATGATGTGTTAGGTGTTGTAAGATTTGGCATGAGAACAGGAATGCTCTACTCTCTTGTGTGAAGCCCAGGAAATGACTCTCTCCTTTTAGGACCAGACCGCAAAAGCAGTTCTTTTGGGCCTGAATGCTGAGGAGGGAGAGTTCTTCCACTTGCCACTCTCTGTCACTCATCTTT